ACTGCAGAATTTTTTAAATTTTAAGGAGAATAATTTAATAATAACCTAACTATTTATTCATATTTAAATAAAAAATGTAGTTTGAATTCAAATAATATAAATGAAACATTTGAACCTTACTGCTTATTTAATTTTTCTTTTATTTTTAGATAAATCTTAGCTGTTACATAAGTCAATTTTTTTTTAAAGTATCATGGATTTTTTTTCGATGCATAAACTTAATTCGTTTTCTATAAATGTTTGCCATATATCAGTCTAAATTCGGAAAAAGCACTGTTTCAATGCTCGCGAAGCCTGTGTATAAAAATATAAAATTAAAATTAAGAAATATTTAACATTTTAAGATAATACTTTTTTTATAGCAATGATGTATGTATCATTCAACATCAATGCCTTAAATAACGTTTAGTAAGTAACAGTACTTTTGTATTATAACAATCATATATTTCCTATATATTGACGATGATATAATTAATTTTTATTGACAGTGATGTAATTAACATTTATTGATTACAAGCTTATTTAATAACAATGCTATATTTTACATTTAAGAACTCCATGTTTATTTAATATCAATGATATGAACATATAATTATGCTTTATTCAAAAATCAGCAAGTCTCGTTATTAACCATTGAAGTTCAGTAATGTAAATAATGAAACCTTTAACTTTTATAGCTGATTCAAATTTTTTTTTATTTTTAAATAAGTCTTGTAATAAGTATGATGCATCAATCTCTTTGAAAAGTGTTTCCAACAAATATGCATTCCTTATTCGCCTTTAATAAATGCTTAACATACATCAAATAAAAAGAAGGATGTTTATTTAATCATAAAAAATACATTTATAAACTCAGTAAGAAAATATTTAGCATTTTAAAACTTTTCGTTGATTTAATGACAATGATGTATTCAGCGTCTAATAATTATACGTTAATTTAAAAACAATTGTGTAATTAAGTAATTATCATTTAAAAATTCCCGATACGTTTTTTTACAATAATATATTAAACATACTTAGTAACCTAGAACTGTAACATACTTTAAAACTTAGTGACTACAATTTTCTATTTAATAACAAGGGGTAATTAATATTTCACATTCTATAATTAAACGTTTATTTCATTTCAAAGTAATATTTTACATTAAATAATTATAAGTTTATTTAATAACAGTGACACATTTAGCATTTAATAACTATTCGTTTATGTAATAAAAAGATTCATTTAATTACTATACGTTTTTTTAATTATAATATTATATTTAATATTTAATAACTATTCGTTTATTTAACAACAATGATATATTTAGCATTCAATAACTATACGTTAATTTAATTATAATGTTAATTAATTTAATTCTGTATTCAACGCTTAATGACTATACGTTTTTTCAATGACAATGTTATAATTAACATTTAATAACTTTACATAAAATTTCTAAGGAACAAATTGAATTTAGAAATAGTCGAAAACTTTTTCAGGTTGGCGCATGACGCATGCCACATTTCTGTTTCTCTTTTTTTTCGGACAGAAAACTTGAGTTTCTTTTTTGTGAAGGTCAAAATGCGCTCCAAACCAAAGCAGTCTCACGCTTCATCCCTTATATTTCTTCAAAAATAGAACACAAATTATATATGAACGAATAGTTATTAAATATTAAATATATATTACAATATTGTATCTAATATTTAATAACTATTCGTTTATTTAATAACAATGATATATCTAGCATTCAATAACTATACGTTTCTTCAATGGCAATGTTATAATTAACATTTAATAACTTTACATAAATTTTCTAAGGAACAAAATGAATTTAGAAATCGTCGAAAACTTTTTCAGGTTGGCGCATGACATATGCCACATTTCTGTTTCTCTTTTCTTTTCAGGACGGAAAACTTGAGTTTCTTTTTTGTGAAGGTCAAAATGCGTTCCAAACCAAAGCAGTCTCACGCTTCAACCTATATATTCCTTCAAAAATAGAACTCAAAACTATGAGACATTACACCACAACAACAAAGCTCTTCACGACAGCGTGTCGGGTAACTTTTCTTCCTTTCGCTGTAACGCTATCCCCGGCACCGGTTTTGTATTTCTCTGTTATGCTAATTTCAGCTATTTTCTTTTATACAAAAACCTATCCCCTGCAAACGATACAGGAAGATTACCTAGGGTACTAGTCTATACTAAGCATCCAGGGGGTGAAATCCCCAAGAAGTTTCGTTCTGAGTTCATATGGTTTAGGAACATCACATAAAGTAATTGTGAAGATAAAAATTTATCGTCATGGTATTGTCAGTGCGGTTACTACTGACAGGTTATCCGCAGTTAATATGACAGGCATAAGTTTGATATAATTCGGTCCGCATTTGAATTTGAATTTGATTTTTATTCGGCTCACTGTGGCTGGTGTCAAATTATTCTAATGGTAAATAGTTGGAGTAAATAACCTTTTATAGTTGAATTTTAAAATGAAGTGTAAGAATAGATTGCTTTTGTTAAGTTTTCAACTGATGAGACAACTGAAGCACAAAAATATTTGGAACTTAAATGTCAATCAAAATTATTTTGACACCTTTTTTTTTATGCATATTCCAAGTGCGTTCTTTCATCGCGCATTATTTCCCTTACGTTTTGAGAATAGAAAAATACAAAAAAATATACATAGAAAAAAAATGATTTAATAAAGAGTTCTTTTAGAAATGCTTAGCAAAGTTCGATTTAAGAAAATAAAGAATTATATTCAATGGAGCAGAGAGAAAAAGTTATTTCTGATTTACCTAACCTAAAACTTTTTCAAGCTGTAAGACAAAATTTTTGAATTTTGGTTCATACTAAAAAACATTTATATCCAATTTTAAAAATACACGTAAATAACTATTTTGATTTAAAATGAAACCAAATTTTTTACATTACGAAACTAAATAAGAAGTATCTGATAAATCTCACAAGTAGCACGTTTTTAAAAGAATACAATTTAACTAATTTTTGAAATTTTCAAGCTTTATGTAATTTTATGTACCATCTTTAGTAAAAACCAAACTGTGATGATAAGTGGTTAAGACACTGGAACATCATTGTCAATTACCGGATATAAGGGTATCGATAGTTATTACTGTAAAATCGATTTTTACCGGAAACATGTTACGGACCAAAAATCTGATATACAGTAGTTTTTACAGAAATAATTACCGGAAAATCACTGAACCACTCTAATTAAATAAACATTACTGAAAAAGTTACAGCATTATATTTTACGGTAGAAATAGATTTTTCGGATGATGCACCCAAAGGAAAGGCTAGCTCGAAAATACGATCCCAGTAGTTTGATCAGAAGAGTGGTCTAAAGTTCAGATCCCTTGTTGTTAATTTTACTTTTTGTGTATTTCACCATATCACGAGATTATAAATTGATGTATAGTTAATATTATGGGGTCCAAACCTTTGACAGTTCTCCTAACCAAACTTTTGGGACCATATATCTTACATTGTAGCTACAACGTATATCTTGAGAGTCAGAAATCTGAATCCGTAGAAAAAAAAGGCATGTTTTTTCAGAAAAAAGTACTTTTTTGTAACTGATTTCGTAACTAAAAACATCCTTTGCTCTAATTAATTAGCATATTTGAGGTCAAGCCTTCGAACCTTTAAGATTAAGTCCTAGTTAGTAAAGATTCGACAATTAGATCAAAAGTTATTCAGTTTGGCCCGTTTTTAATTTTTCACGCTGTACATTGTCTTAATTCTTGTGACCTAATTTTTATTCAATATCAGATATGGGGGAAAAAAATTTAAAAGGTCATTCGTCTTAAAAAAAATAACATGAACCGTTGTAAAGCATCTTACACGAAGAAAAGAAATTCTGGTAAAAATACAGTTACTGTATGGTACTAACATTTCTGTTAAAGAAAAAAAAATTAAAAAGCAAAATCCTGACTTACAAAATAAAAATATACAGTATTTAAACCATTCATTCAATAAATTTCTCGTTCCTATGTTAATGGTTTACCGGAAATTCGAATTTTCAAAAATATAGTTTTTATCACCATGCATTTGGCAAAAAATACAAAAATGAAAATAGAATCTAAGCGAATAAAAGGTTTGTATGCTATGTTCAAAGGTATCCTGATAAACTTACCACATATTATATACCACAGATTTTATCACATATAAAACCCTATTTTATTGTTAATCTTACTGAAATCATTACCAAAGTTCTTCGGTAAAAATTAGCGAGCATTTTGGTGTTCTCATAGAATAAAAAACATGTCAAATTTCCCGTGTTCTGGTACTTTTGACAATACTTTTTTTCCTCAGTGTTCGTATGCTGTGGTAAAAAGTCTCAATTAAGCTTTAAATAATAAAGATCATTACGTAAACTTGTGATAATGTGATTTAAGTAAGCTATGGTAAAGTTCTTCAGTCAATATCATCGATATTAGATTGACTAACTCTTACAAGACTTTTTGCTAAATAATTAATAGATTGAAATTAATTAAAAATTTTATTAGTTAAGGACTTATTAAAAATATTAAATGTATTAAAAATTAGCTAATAATTAATTAATAATTAGAAATTAATTAAATTTACTATGTTCTGGTACTTTTGACAATGCTTTTTTTCTCAGTATTCGTATGCTGTTGTAAAAAATCTCAATTAAGCTTTAAATGATAAAGATCCTTGTGTAAACTTGTGATAATGCAATTTAAGTAAGCTGTGGTCAATTTTTTCAGGCAATATCATCAATATTATATCGACTATTACTTACAAAACTTTTTGTTTAATAATTAATAGATCAAATTAATTAAAAAAAACACAATTAGAAATGATAACACTACTTAACAAAGTTAACATTAATTAATTGATAATTAATTAAAAATCAAACATAGTGTACTTTATTATCTGTAATAATGGAGTGTATTATGCTTGATTTCCAATTAATTCTTAAATTGTAAGTTTTAAATATGTTGTCACTTACGGTATAATTTTTTTCTTGCAGTGAGAAGTGATAAAAAAAAAAAGAATGGTGAACAACTAATATCCTATTTGGATACGACACTGAAAATACAGGAAAAAAATTCAAAGGGTATGTATTAGCTAAAAATTCTATTTTTGAAATAGAAAACACTTATGAGGAAAAGAATAACTAATTTAAGGAATGTTTATTTTTAAAATGAATCTTTGAAATTGTATCTTGGAGGATCAACTAATTCTCAAGAAAGAGATTCAAAATTATCGTGTGCATAAGAATAACATCATATCTTAGCATTATACTTGCTTAATCATTTAATATTTGTAAATATTGAGTTATACGAATTTTGCATTTATGCTTGAGATGGATTATTATATTACAAAACATCACATTAAAGAGAGATTAAATCACCATTAGGGACGAAATCATGGGATTAAACTAATTTAAATGATGTTGATAAAAACGATTATGAATTATGTTTAAAAATAATTTAAAAATTGTTTACATTTTTATTTATTTCTTATGTGAAAAGCATTTTATACGTTTAAGAGTAAAAAGTTATGAAAATAAATAAAATTAATTTTTTACGGCTAATTCTTTTCGTAATTATTTTCTTGTTTTATTTATTCAAAAACTGATTTAAAGATTAAGACATTATCATTTATTTCAAACTCATGTAAATTTCTGATTCATTTTAAATTCTTCATTGTATTTATATGCATTTCTATAGCATTGTTGTTTATGATACAGGTATTTTTAGCGTTTTTTACCGAGACAACTAATTTTAAAAATTATTCCAAGACAACTAATACAAAATTAATATTTCAATCTAAGATTATTTAGATTTTCTATATATAAAAAATTATACATTTATATAAATTTCGTTATTAAATACCAGTTATTTAATTAATAATCTAAAATTTCAATCATAAATTCATTTCGTGTTCTTCTAAAATTCAAAGCTATCTATAAACTCATAATCATAGTGCATATGAACTCATCCATAAACTTTCTATAAATTCATCTTTAATAAAACATTCCAAAATTTCTTTGTCAATAAAATTGAAATATTTCTGGATTCTGTGAGTAGAAGATTCAATATAATTGTTCTTTAAATTTAGCATCCACTGATGACTTTTTTTTTAAAGAAAAGAATTTTGAAATTTAATATAGTGTTGCTATTTAACATCATAGATAATATTTTTTACGTTAAATTCCACTAACGAGAGACTATTATTTTTTATTATTGAACAGGTACATACAAAAGAAGATGATTTGGGCTGAAAAAAATGGCACTATCTGCAAAAAAATAAACAAAAAAATACTTAAAATAATATTTAACTGAAGAAAGTAAGAAACTGAGATAACAATCTGTAATTAATTCTAACAATAACTTCATAGGGCTTATGTACGAAGCAAGTTTTAATAAATCTAAAATCAAAGAAAAACTAAAAATTCTTCTAAATTTTATAATACAGACTTGACCTTTTCAAAAATCTCATTTTCAAAATGTATATTAGTTTCGACGAAGTGATGTAAGCAGAAATATTAAGAAATTAGGGAAAAAATGACTTTTTCTTATTTAATATTTTTCAACTATGAGATTTCACTTACAAATCTTCTCGGTAGATAAATCGCAATCGGTGATATATTTGAATATCATTTTTTTTTTAATATCGGTGATACATTTGAATATCGTCCATAATATTTTTACAACACATTTGAAATATGTTAATACATCTAGTTGATCTATTTAGATTTAATCAATTCGAATATTTTCAAAAGTGAAATTCAACATTCTGTTATATTTAAAACTGCATGTATCTAAACATCATTTTGATATGAAATATTTTTGAACTGAATTTATTATAACAGGTGTACTTATGTATTCATCGCAATATCATTTTTAATGCCCAGCTGTATTTTTTACTATAGTCCTTATTTTTTTCAAAAAGAAAAATACAGAAACTGCACCTATGGAACAAAAATTTAAATTGGAAATATTCACGATTAGGACATGAAGCTGGGATAAAATCCTCAGCAAGCTTCGTTAATTAAAGCTCAAACTGAAATCGACTTAAGAATAATCTCCTAACTCAAAACCAGCAGTCACGACGAACTTCAATGCGTTTTCTGTAGGAAGCAGCACTTGAATCGAAGTCAAAACTCTTATGATTTCAACTTCTACTTTACAACGACCGTAGCATTCACAAAAAGCTTTTTAAAAGTATCCCCTAGTTTTACACGGAAGCACTAAAACTGCAAAAATATTAATAAGGGGTAAAAAAGAAAGAAATGAGTTATATATATATATTATAAAAAAGAAGTTTTTAAAAAGAAGGAATCGCAATTGGCGAGAGACAGAAAATAGCTCTGTGTGCTATAGAAGCTGGAACTCTTGATACAGAGTGGAGTATGGGCTATAGAAGGGGGATAGCTTCCGGTAAGTGGAGGGGGATGTGGGGGGTCTTTGAAGGGGGCAGTCTTCTCTCTTCTCATTTGCATCTCATAAATATGTATGACCAGACTTTTGGGTATGTGATCTTTAGCACCCACCCCCGCTAACATCCCTCCTTGCCTCATCTGGATCGTCTTCTAAGGGTTGCCGATCCGTCGCCAGTTGTCGATTTTGGCGAAATTCCCAGCATCGCCAAGCTGAATCTATTCTCTTAGGGTCATTCGGGATTCAGAGAAGAAGGCATTGTTATTTAAATCTGTTGTATACTTAGAATATATCATCGTATAATTTTATCAAGTTTTCTCTCACTTCCTTTTAAGATATGAAGTGATATTTATCGCTTTTTAGTTTTTCCTTGAGGGACTGTTTCGATTGGTTTCGAATGATGTGTTTATCTCTCAGTTTCTGCTTATAGCTTTTTGATTTGATAAAAATATAATGTGATTTATGATGAGATTTGAAATTAATATTCGTACATCTGAGATAAACTCATCATTTGAAAGCATTTGACTGTTTCATCGTAGTTCATAACATGATATGAAAAGCTTTAATTTTTTAATTGGTTTATGATCAAACAAATTAATTGATTATATAATATATAGTACGCGTTACATATTAAACAAATTAAACAATTTGTGATAATAATTACGAATCGAATTTTCTAGAGTCAGCTAGTTTTCCTTCACATTTAAAACATATTAATTAACTTATTCATTTCTTGGTACGATATACTTATAACAGTAAATTAATTTATTTTGTCCATTTTCATTTATATTACAAGGTAAATTGATTAAACATTTTTGTTGTATCGATGATTTTTAACAGCTAATATTTTAAGAACATGGAATATTCAAGCACACAATTTGATAATAAATCGTCGAAAAAAGTTTCCAAAATCAAGTACTTCCCTCCAATTTTTAAAAACTTTATCAAATTTTAATTTAATAGGTTTTTTCTATTAAACCGGAGAGATTTATCAAATATTTATCTATTTGATCATTTTAAATTAATGTAGAATTTTATATGCTTGGACAATAATGAACAATAACAAACTAACAAGTAATAACAAACTAATAATTTTATTACATTCTTAAGTCTTTCAATTTTTTTTGAACGAATTATTTAACTTTTTTTTACATCAGAGAGGCAAGTTTATTCGGCTAAAGTTTATTCGGCATTTAAGTTTATCCGGCTAAAGTATTAACTCTCTAAAATAAAAAAAAGACCAAATAAATTTCTCCCTTGAAATTTAAACAAAATTAAATTATAGATTTATTACTTAAACTAATTTATTTAGCACCAAAATATATTAAAATTTTTGTTCTGTATTTTTTTGTCCTGTGGAATTTTAGAAATAGTAGACACCTTTAAAACATTAAGAACATCTGTATAAACAAGCTTTAAACATAAATACTTATTCTGATGCAATGAGTTATTATTATTTTCTCTTTATTGGAGTTATACTTTAGTTAACACTTTAAAAGTTTGATTGAAAATATGATATCAAAAGGCTAGAGAAAATTCCATGATTGAATTCACTATTTTGTATACAATTGGAATTTTGATTCCTTGCATATTTTTTCTTTTAAACTATCAGGAAAAACTAAGCAAAAAACACCATTTTAACATCACAACGTCGGAAATTACTTGCTACAGTAAAAATTATAATAATTAGAATTATTGTAAGTAATAATACCACAATATAGTCATGAATCTCTTGTTTATGATGAATTTTTAATGGCGGGGATTTAGACATTATTCGCAGTCATACCTTAAAATAAATTCAGAAGAAAAATTTTGTTACAGTGGGATCGCAATTTATAAACTTATTGTGGAAATTGCCAAAATTAATTAAATTTGGATAAAGCAAATGAAATATTAACCGAAAAAATATATGACACTAATATTAACGTTTCAAAATAATTATTCGTTCTAAGCTAACTGCTCATCCTAAGCTGTTTTTATAAAAGCTAATAAATATGGCAAATACATAATGGGCTTTAATTGAAAATTGTTCTAAAAAAGAATTTATTTAAAAAAATTGTATAGCTTTGTCTGAAAAAATAATAAATTTTGCCATATATATTTTTCGCGTTCTTATGAGCAAAAGTGCTTTGCACAGGATTATTAAAAAAAAAAAGGTTCTATCAACAATGTAAGTTAAAATGAACAATTAATTAAATAAGAATAAAGAAATTTTGCTCATTTAGTTAAACTGTTTTTTTTTTTAACTTTTTTTTCAACAGCATAAAAATCGAAAATATTATTTCATTTTAATATTTATCTAGTATAGCACTTATATTTATTGGAAAAAAGATTTCGTTGAAATACAACTCAAGAATTACCCTGCATGATAATTTTTATGATGATGATTCTAGCAAAATTATCGATGTTAAAGCGAAATATAAGTTTTATTTATAAAAATGATGAAATATCATAAGCATTTTACATTAAAAAAATTATGTTTACTTACAGTTTTAACTTTTTATAAAATTCATACATTTTGTGAAATGTTAAATTTTATGAATTAAACTAGAAAATTGTAAGTAAAAAGATGCTTTACTGAATTTTATGTTTCACCAGCGTTATATTGCGATAACTACTATTAAACTTAAAATAGTTGTTAAAATATTCCAAAACTTTTTTACAAAAAACT